ATATGGCTATATCCATCCTCCAAGAGTTCGAAAAAATTCCGATGTTCACAATTATCTATACGAATTGTCTAAATGCCTCCAATACATAATTTAATAAGTAGTTATTTGTGGTTCACTTATAAATATAACAACCATTTCTATTACAGCGTACAATATAAAGTTTACCTACAATAGTTATATTATGATAAGTTCTATAAAAAGGTTTACTATAATATAGTTACAGTCGGGTTTCTTCATGATGGTAATCCTGCCAGACCGTCTGAACGAGTACGCGTAACCCGTGTACGTCGTACCGATGTCGATCGCCACCACGATACCGTCTTCGGGCGATTCGTCCAGCACCTGGAGCTCGGTCGTGTGACATTGATCTCGGTTGACGTATACTTCTTCGACCAGGTTATAAGTCTCGTTCAATGGCACAGGACTACAGCAGTTGTTGTTGGACTTGACGGTAACCGGTGCGGCTGCGGCGGTGAAACTGCTCATCGCGGTCGTACACTCATCCCCATCCGGTTGCCGGAAACACTGCTGTTCYAGCGACAACGAAATCAACCTGCAGCGTCGTCAGACGATATTAAACATAATGCAGCTGGTAGATGACCACTGCGAGTGCAATTTGAGTTTTAATTTTTTTAATAGAGATACTAAAATTTAAGTAAACCATTTTTTTCATCATCAACTCGTCAAGTCAAGCCAATTTTTCTCCTTTGAACTAACCATTTACACATTTATAATAGAGACATGCCTATTACCTACTACCTATAACTATTTAATTATTTGATTCCGAATATTAATATTATTGTTTCTAAAATTAAGAATGTAAAACAAATTTAGTCATCGAAATTATGCTAAAACTATAACGTAAAACCTATAGTTGTTAAATGTATATATTTTTTTTTGATTGRCTTATTTCAAATTTAAATTTCTCAACGATGTTCTTTATTAGMCCTATYCTTGGCCTTCTTGAACCAATCCACAGAATTACAATAAATTAAGTATAATAAAGTGGTTTCGTACCTGTTCAGAGTTGTGTTTATTGAGTTGGCAACTTCRTCCTCGTCATACTCAATCGGGATCCCAGAATCGAGCGAATTGTAGCGCAGAGCGCATTCGATGTCGTCCAGCCTGTATTCCGGTTCCTCTTCCACGCAACCTAAGACTGATATAATGATATTATACCACCACGGCTTTAGCCCACTGTGCGTTTATCGAGTAAAGATCGCGATAAATGATTCGCGCGCGAACATATATAAACGAAAAACGACATACACACGTAACACGTGCTAGTAGGAGTGCACTCAGCRCAGGTAAAGTCACTGTACGCGCGTGTATATTATATTAAAATAAAACGCGATCTCTAAATATACATATAGTATATAAATATACCTTGTTGAAATTTCTGGATGTTGTTGTGTCTGAACAGCAGTATCTCTTGTTCAAGACTAGATAGCGGATCGTCAACGAACACTCGTCCCCTCCTGCGTTCGTGGTACGACGTGTCGCCTGCTGCAAAGTTCATCATGGCTGGTGGCTCTGCGGCGGGCGGAATAACAAAACAAATCACATAAAATCAATTGAATGGGAAGAAAGTGTGCCGGGTGTGTAATTACATCGCGGTCGTGACCAACCACGCGGAACGATGCTGCCGCAGCAGTTAACAACAATACAATAATATACTTATCAAAAGAAAAACTAACTGCGGCGAAAGAAAAATTACGGATGCATAATGAGAATTTGAAATCGTTAACGATATTTTAACTATTCTTATGATAGATAATAGCCATATAGAAATAGGTGTTTTCTGCGTGTTCCGCGTGGGCGGAGTACCATGCCGTTATAATTGTTGTATATACTATATGCGTCTACCTAATATCGTGATAGGGACATATATAATATATATATATTTATACCTAGGTACAGCCGTACTAGTAGAATAATATAATAACATGACACGACAATGGCAACAGTCGACAGTAAATAACGACACATATTATAGGTATATATAGGTACCTACTACAAACTATACAATATATATGTATATGTGTGTGTGTATATTATATATATATA